GCAGAATGAATTCTTGCAAAATCATGTTATGTGCACACAGAAATACACCACTGGGAACCTCACCTTTATGAATAGGTAGAAAGAACCAATCAAGTTAATAGATGAGTGAAAGCAAGTCTAACAGAGTAGGAGAAGGATTATAGGAGAGGAGGGAGAACTGGAAGGAAAAGGGGAGGGATAAGTGGGAGGATCATGAACCAAAATTGAATTCCATGCATGTATGAGATTATTGGGATGAACCCAACTACTATGTAGAACTACAAAGCTCTAGCAAAAATAAATAAATAAAAAAGACACATAAACATGTAAACACACATACACATTCAATTGTATACATAACTAAGTACATGTAGACTCTCTCCCTCTCATACACACACACACACACACACACACACACAAATGAATGCAAGTGAAATTGGTAAATCTGAGTAGCTTTGGTTGATTGTATCAACATCAGTATCCTGCTTGTGGTACTGTACTATAGTTGTGCAAAACACTGCCATTAAAGCAAACTAGATAAAAGGTACACAAGATCACTATACCACTTCTCACAAATGTGTGTGAATCTAATATTAACATTTTCAATTAGAAAGTGACTGTTTAAATAAATTACAAAACATCATAAAAGGAAGACCTTCTTGTTTGTGGATAAGGAAGATACTAGATATTTATCCACAATGCATTAAGTAAAAACACAAGGATATATGAAAAAGACCACCGTTATAAGGAAAAAGAAATACACAGACCAGCTTTGGGTAGAAGAAGAGCTGATAGCAGCTTCCCTGGTTGCCTCTGGGAAGAAACAAGGGAACAGACATGAGAAGAAAGACATTTTACACAAGTTTTACTCTTCAGAACTTTTGAAGGTTGAGTCATGAGTATTACCTATGCCCCCAAAGAAATAAATTTCAAAGAAAAACATGTTGTTCCTGAATGAAAATCAGCAAAGCTGAAACAATAATAAATAAATAACACAGAGAATCAATCGACCAACACATATTTCTTTTTTAACAGTCCCCTAAGAGTTCTGCATGGATAATGGCTGTGAAAGACTCTGAGTAATATGTAAGAGGCATTGCCAATATCAAGGAAGGATGCATGACTTGGGAACAGGGAGAAATAACTAATACTATATGGCAGCAATTCCAAGTGTCACGGAGCCGTCCAAGCAACAAGGGTTATGAAAAGTTAGAAAGGGGAGATGTGGGAAAGTTGGGGCAGAAGGAAGTCTTCAAGACTTTGACCTTGAAGTTCAAAAAGAATAGGTAAAGGCAGTGCCAGTTCAAAGAGATCTACACAATCTAATAACCAAAGCAATACCTTTTGTTTTTATAATCATCTAGAATGTACTGAGTATGTTAAAAGTCTTAGAAGGCTAATAAAATCCTCCTGAAATGAGCACTAACATTTCACAGATGTGTAAACTAAAGGCTAGAGATA